GGGGATGCTCTGCCCGCTGCCGGCCCGCACCCTCCCCGCCTGCCGCAGGCAAAGAACGAGCGGCAAATTCAGGAGCGATAAATCGCAGGAAAGGAGGAAGCTGGGGCTCTTGGCGTTATGAGAAAAAGCAGAACAGAAACCACCTCATTTTCAACAAAAATCATCTCAGTAATTAAAAAACAAAACAAAACAAAAAAAAAACACACCAGAAACCTTACAATTTAATTTAGAGATGACAAAAAAACTTTTTATCTCACCCCAAATTCTAATTTTGGTAATTTAACCTTCCCTCCCCCGCCAATCCCAAAAAGCAAGGCCATTATTTTTAAACAGAAAATTCTCATACAAACTGAAGAGAGGCAGTCTTACGTTGGAGGGAAAAGAAAGGACAAAGCAAATACCCTCAGTTTTCCACCATGAACCTTTCTGGGTTGATACCTCCCCATGTGTCATCCCATTATTTTAGCCAAACTATTGGCTGAATTTGACCCAGAGCATGAATTCCTCCAAAACTCCCTTCTCCACCAAACATTCTCCTCCTTGGAAACCAGCCCCAGCCCACCCCATGGATCCAGTGGGCAGGAGCAGGAGGTCCCAGACACATGGGTCAGGGCAAGCTACGTGACAGAAGCAAGAAATGAGGTTGCACCCCCCAGTCCCAGCACCTGCACAGTACCATTAGGCATGGGTGGCGTTACTGCTTGTGCTGAGGTTGCTGTTGCTTGCAGGGTTTTGGTGGCCTTTCCCACACTGCATCCCTCACCAACAGGCTGCTCGCTCCATGGAGCCTGCAGGGCTGCAGCACAGCCTGGCAGAGCTTTGCTGGTATATGCGATGGTGCCACGTTTTCACTCTCGCCCATGTGTCCCCGTGGCTCTGCCACTCATTTCTCCTCCAGAAGACAACTGGCCTGCAAAGCCCCAAAACTCCCACTGAGTACAAGAAAACCTCCTGCCTAAGAAAATAAATGTTCTGCACACTCTCTGAGCTACCCACAGCAAAGCAAATACGGGCACGGTTGGGTCCCACCACCGCTTTGTTCCTTAAAAATGTGTCATTTCAGTCAAACCTTGGCACACCTGGCCGTCATTAGATAGAGGAGAGAGAGACAGTTGCTGTCATCTTTCTGCACAGCACAACAGGTGCTGTCAGGCCAGGGAGCCATGGTCTTTACCTCTGTATTGTACTTGTCATCCGAGACATCCATAGCCCAAATGGAAATCATGCTGCCTCCATAGTGGGAGGGCTTGGGAACACCATCTCCCTGGAAGGTGCGGTGCTTGGGGTACCAAGCCACCCACACCAGGTGCCATTTGACAGCACCAAATATAACAGAAGGGAAAAGAGAGGTAGGCAGGAGGACGGCAGCTGCCTGCCCTTCCAGCTAGATGTCCAGCCTCAGTGCAGGTAGTGGAGATGATCTAGGTAGTGACAGTGACCCAGACAAGCCTCCCCATTTGCAGACATGAGACACAGATTGGGCTGTCTTAGTTGAGTTTTGGTATCTTGCAGGTAAGGAGTCTCTCGATACAGACTAGGTGTCCACAGACACTCAGCAGAGACTATTTACCTAAGGTGAGTTATAAAGGCTGAACCCAAAATGCATTTGTAAATATCTGGCTTGTGTTTTGGTCTCTCTCGTTGGGGTGGTTTTGTTATCTGCAAGGAATGCAGCATCTTCCAAAGCCCATCTTGTCCTTGGTCCCTGTGTGGATGGGTAGGTGGCACATGGCAGGCTCTGTCCACCGTGACTCTGCGTCTCCTCAACATACATAGGAGGTCAGCATGTCAAGGTACCCCTCCATGCAAGGTTCATGTCCCACCTTCTATTAAGGCAAATAGGAGGAAGGAGGTGTGATGGGCACCTTTTGCAGAAGCTGAAAGGAAATGTTAGCAGTGGCATTAGCCGTTCTCCTCTTTTTAGTGATCCAAGTCCGAGGTCTCAGATCGAGGCAATGAGAAAAGGGACTAGCCAGAGGAGGAGCAAGGACAATCACCTGATTTGGAGCCATCTCAGGAGCTGCCATCAAGGCAGTGGCAGCAGCAATGCTAAGGACTTGAGAGCAGTCCCTGGCAAGGCAGCCACAGGATCTGCCTTGTGAAATAGCAAACACTGTCTCAGCACAACGCCAGACATCATCTAGCTGACCGCTGCACCCCCTCATTGCATCCCACCATGTAAAGCTTTCTCCTCATCCTCAAGCAGACTGTCTGAGCTATCAGAGAACAAGTCCTCCAGATCCTGCTGCCTCATCTTGGACTCCAGAACAGTGATGCGCTGCTTGAGCTTCATCTGGGCGTCATTGTACTCTGTCAGGAGCCGGCCAAAACGGGTGTGCAGTATGTCCAGGTACAAGGCCAGCCTGTCCAGCTTCTCCTCCACGCTTTCCCCTTCTGTGCTTGCCTCTGCAGCTGACTCATCCAGCAGCCCTTCCTTGATCAGGATCTCCTGGCCACGCTCCTCCAAGACTTTTTTGGCATCAGGATACTCTGTGACTGCTTCCATAAGATCTTCCTTTGACAGGCAGAAGAGATCAGAGTAGCCCAAGCTGCGGATGTTGGCTGTGCGCCTGTTGCCCATTTTGCTCCCTTTAATGTTGAGGATGCTGATCTCACCAAAGCAGCCTCCTGCAGTGAGCAAAGCATACTGTGTCATTCCGTCATCCGCCACCACGGCCAGCTTCCCCTCCTTGATGATGTACATCTCTTTCCCAATGTCTCCTTTCCGGCAAATGTAATCCCCTGGGCTGAACACCTGAGGGCGAAGCTTCAACACCAGCTCCACCAGTAGACCTGCCTCACAGTCCTGGAAAATCCTCACCTTCTTCAGTGTCTCCAGGTGAACGTTGATGGCAATCTCTGCCCTTAACTTATCAGGGAGATTCTTGAGGACTTCCCGTTCATCTACTGCCTTCTTGTTGGTCCACAGGTAGTCAAACCACTTGATGACTTTGGTTTCCATGTCTTTGCTCACCTTGCGGAACTGCATGTAGTGTTTGATGGCATCAATTTTTGCCTGGAACTCTGCCCTGGTGGCATTCATGTTGGATATCATGGACCCCACATTCCCCACAATGGTGGCAAAGATGAGGACACCGATGAGGAAATCAAAGATCACGAAGAGGTACTCTTCATCACGCACAGGTGGGGGTGTCTCTCCGATGGTAGTCAAAGTCAACGTAGACCAGTAGAGACAGTAGACGTACTCCCGGGTCAGATACCCATATTCAGGGTCTGTGACATTAGGATAGACCCAGGTGTCCTCTCCAAAGCCTATGGCCTTGGAGATGGCATAGTAAATGCATGCATTCCAGTGGATGATGACCAGGATGTAAAGAACCAAGTTGCTGATGCGGAGGATGTTGGGGTGGCTGGTTCTGGTCTCAGTCCTACTGAAGAACTCAAACATGCGGGAGAAGTGCAGCAGCCTGTTGAAACGCAATTCAGGGCAGTGCAATCCCACAGCAAAGTATGCCAGGTCTGTGGGCAGGATGGAGAGAACATCCAGCTTGAACTGTAAGGTGTGGATATAGTTATCCCATAATTTCTTCAGATCCTTAACCAGGAGGCCCTGTTCCAAGAAACCTAACAGAGAAGCAAATGATAGAATTATCTTGGCTTACGTTCAACTCTTCTGCAGGCTTTGTAAGCACTCTGAGAAACATTTTATGGTACGCCTTGGACATGTGTGCATATATACACAGGGTCATCCAAATATTACCAGTTCCACCTGATCTACTCAGTTTACAAGATTTTGTTATCACTCAAGCCCTTTGTCTGGCAAAAGTCACCTGAAGGGACTTACTCTGGGACTCACTTAGGGATTTACTCTGTTTCCACAAAGAAATGGGGACACAAAGGTTTCCATCTTCTAGATCATAAATTATTGCAGTTCCGACAGAAAATGTACAGCCACCTGCCGCGTTCTGAGAACATTAAATTCTACCATTTTTCCATGTAGATAATTCATTAGCTGAACTGATGCAAAATCAGAGATACAGACCTTCAACTATGCCCGAATACTAATAGTAATGCAGGTAATTTTGTACAATTATTCAAAGGTGAAGTTGAAAGCTGGGATGATTAATCTTTCATTCTGAAACTTACTTCGTTTCTCAGATCTTTTAATTAGATTCTTTCTCTGGAGACTGCTTCATACTAGTGAGTGCCAAGGTAGACAAAACCCTCCTTCTAATGGAGCTGTAGATTAGGCCTCTCCCTTGCAGCTCATCTCCACTTTTAGGGGATTAAAGCAAAGCACTCACAAGCCAGGACACTGCTTCTGCTTACCTGTGCGCAGGCGGATCACTATGTCCCCAATGTAGATAGAGTCCGAGAGGTAGTCTAACACCAGCCAGAGGACAACGTAGGTCTTTTGCAGGTCACTGAAGCAAGCCCTGGAGGAAGGTCATAAAATAGGGTGGTGAGACCAACAAATCTCCATATCATCTCCAACTATTACAGCTGAATATAGGCTGATTCTGAGGCTCCTAACTCTGCAACAGAGCTTGGCCACTTGCCCCTCTTCTCCTAGAAATTAAAACCCCCTTCTATGAAAAATCTGCCCTCCCTTGACATAGGTAAAGCAACGTCTTGAAACCACCTCCCAAATGCACCTTGCAGCTTTACCCCAAAATCATGGTCCTTTCCAACGGGGGCCAGAGGATGGATGCTCTGCCTATGCACTGCAGAAGTCACAGTGATAGCAGGGGTCCCTTTCCTTTAGGTTTCCACCAGCCCCAGCACCACCAATGTCAGCTGTCTGTTCCTGGCTGAGCCATGACAACCAGGTGAGTAAGGAGGATTAAAGGAGACAGGGACTCTACAACCTCCCAGCTCACCTGGCTACAAGCAAGCACCAGTTATAGAGGACAGGAACTGCAATGACAGCCAGCCAACGGTAATACCAGTCCCCTGCAGGGTCCACCACAAAGATCTGCCATTTCTTCCTGGAAGCAGAGAGAAGCCAGAGCTGGCAATGTATGAATAAAGGGCTAAACATAGAAAACAGGGTTGGAAGGAATCATCCGAGCCACATCCTTCATCCCTTGCACTAGACTGGCTCAAACATAACTGCAGCTTGAGTGCCAGTCTGTAAGCTAAAACCAGTCCCAGCAGTGCTGAGCAAAAATGTCCAGCACTGTTTAAGCTCCTTTATCCCCAAAACTGGGCTCAGTAATGTACCAGAAGAGGAAACTGTAGGATGGTAAGGCAAAGCAGGTGGCCTACATGCACACAGCACCCCAGTGGCAGAGCCAGAAACAGATGAACAGAAGAGGGTGATCAGAAAACTTCTTGTTACATGACATTAGGTCTCCCAGATGAGGTATGGATTGGTGCCAGAGAGATCTTAAGAGAAGATTAATTAGAGCAGGAAGGTAAGTGTGCTGCAGATCAGTGGGAGCACCAGGAGCCCAAGCCCCAGAGCAGCGACCTGGGGGGCAGCTGGCATTGCAAGGCTGCCATCACCATGCTGCTCACAGCTGCCTGCCTGCAGTCTGCTCAGTCCTGGGTCCAGCCTTTGAACGGCTCCCAAGTGTTTGATCCTGCTCATCTTGGGACTCTGAGATAAGATGTGTGTGCTCCAGACTCCAGATCTCACTGGAGAAGCTGGGGAAGAGAAACTGTGGCTGGACTGACAGGCTTAGCTGTTGCAGCCTGGTAGGGCAAAACTCCCTCTCCCGCTCCCTCCTTCCCTCCCTTCCAGCTTTTGAACATGCAAAACTCCCTCCAGTGACAGGAAAAAACCAACCCACTTGCCAACAGATTCCCCATGCCCCCCCCTGCTTCTGACAGCTTCAAAAGCAAAACCTCTGCCTTGAAGTCTCCTTCCCCAGCAGCACCGGCAGTGGCACCCACAGTGCCCAGAGCGTGGGGACCAGCACTCGGCGCAACGCCAGCGGTGGTCCTTCACATTCGCTTTGGGTACAGCCACAGACAAGCAGGTGGTCCAACCTCCCCATTAAAAGTGCTTATCTTTTGCTCAGAAAGTGTGACTTAAATGTTTTTTTCAGAAAGGGATTCTTTGCTCCCTGGGACATAGAACATGGGAAGCACTGTCTCACCTGCAGCCAGCCAGTACTGTTGTAGCACCCACAAGCACTAACAACCTCAATAACAGTGTAAATTATGTTGGTAATTTCAGCTTTAAATCACCAGTGCTGCCCACAGCAGGTCGCCAGAGTCACTGACATTAGCAAGACAGCAGGGCCAGGGCTGGAAAACCAGGGCTCTAGGTTAACCCAGGAAGAGGGAATAATCATCTGCCTCTTCCCGAAGGCTTTGCACCCAAGCCTGCAGCTGTGGAGGCTCCCATGGCCATGAACAGCAGCTCACGTTAGGAGTTACCAGACTTGGGGCTCTTCTTACCTGTGGAGCTGAGGACCTAGAAAACAGCAGAAGTTATCACTGTCTCCTCAGGAGCCCACTGGCACCGAGCAGCCCTTTCACAGCATGCTTCAGCTCTCTCTGATAATTAACAAGCTCCCCTTAACCTCGCAGGGCAGAACATTTTTTTCCATGACTAGTAAAGACCCAGATACAAGGCTCAGATATTTTTCTCCTACAGAAAACAATCATTTTTTTGTGTTTTAATTACCACGTATAATGGTAGGGTCCAGAGTAGTCTGTGAGCTTTGCCCTTTAATGAGCCAGCAGAAGAAAAGCCAAGTTATTGCTTTTTGCTGGGGGTGTGAGGTGAGGAGATGAAAGGGCTGGATTTGAAAGAGCCTTTTCAGAAAGCTGCTGTCACAGTATCTGCTCCTGGTGGGGCATGGGCAGCAAACACACTCCCTTCATCTCCCTTCATCCTGCAGATGATGAATGAGACTGGCAAATCCCATCTGTTTGTGCTTGCTGTGGTGTGCTGGTTTTGGCTGGGATAGAGTTAATTTTCTTCACAGTAGCTAGTATGGGGCTATGTTTTGGATTTGTGCTGGAAACAGTGTTGATAACACAGGGATGTTTTTGTTATTGCTGAGCAGTGCTGACACAGAGTCAAGGCCTGTTCTGCTCCTCACCCCACCCCACCAGTGAGTAGGCTGGGGGTGCACGAGAAGCTGGGAGGGGACACAGCCAGGACAGCTGACCCAAACTGACCAAAGGGATATTCCACACCATATGACATCATACTCAGCATATAAAGCTGGGGGAAGAAGAAGGAAGGGGGGGACATTCGAAGTGATGGCGTTTGTCTTCCCAAGTCACCATTACGCGTGATGGAGCCCTGCTTTCCTGGAGATGGCTGAACACCTGCCTGCTGATGGGAAGCAGTGAATGGATTCCTTGTTTTGCTTTGCGCAAAAGCTTTTGCTTTCCCTATTAAACTGTCTTTATCTCAACCCACAAGCTTTCTCACTTTCACCCTTCTGATTCTCTTCCCCATCCCACAGTGGGGCAGTGAGCAAGCAGCTGTGTGGGGCTTAGTTGACTGCCAAGGTTAAACCACCATTTCTGAGCAAGAAATAAGAAGCACTTTACAACAGGCCTGGTGTTTAGCAGCTTCAGGATAAGGACTTTCTATAATGGATGGAGCAAAGGCCTTGAGATAAAAATTGCAACATTTACCTGGCAAAGTTGGAAATGTAAAGGGAGGGTTGTTGGGATTTGGGTTTGTTGGGGTTTTTTGGGGGGAAGAGTCCCCGTTTTCTAAATGAAGCAGAAAAATCAAGCCAGTTTCTTTGCTTGAAAGGCTTTTCTGCATGGGTGCCTTCCAGGTCTCTAGTCCAATGGCAGCTTCTGGTCTAGCAAAAGGGAAAGCGTGTTCAAATGTACAGACTTGACAGAAAGCCTGATGAACCCATTGAGCTCCCAAGGGAAACGTGACTGGGGAAGCAGCAGTCTCGCGGGGCAGCTGCAGAGGTGGTGGGAACGGGGAATGCCCAGTGGCCACCAGGGCCCACCAGAAGATGTGGAGGGGGCTGTTGCACACTGTAGCCAGGATGGCACAAATGTAACTTAGACGCGTGATGTGTCTTGCTGGAACGTGCCCTGCTTAATCAGCTGGACCGTGTGGTGAACATAAGCTCTTGGGTTCAGTCTTGTACAACCCCTGCATTTTCTCATTCTCTTACACTGGCTGTGGATAAGTCCATGCTGCAGCAGGTACACCCTGAAGCATCAGTGGCTGAGCATGAGGTCATGCTGGAGCACCTCAAAGCATGTGGCCATGGTTAAACCATGTTGGAGCAGGTTTACTTCTGAAGGGACTGTGGCTGTGGGTAAGGCAGGGTAAGGCCATGTTGGAGCAGGTTTACTTCTGAAGGGACTGTGGCTGTGAGTAAGGCCACGATGGAGCAGGTATATCTCTGAAGGCATTGTGGCCCATTGAGAAGGCCATGCTGGAACAGGTGCACCTCAAAGCGGCTGTGGCTGTGGATAAGACTATGCCACAGCAGGTATACCCCTGAAGAGACTGTGGCTCACAGGGACAGACTAGCAGGTCCTGTGTGCCTGCACAACAGCTCAGCAAAGCCAGGCTGGCTGCCAGGACAGGGGCTGGAGAGGGCAGGGAGGACCCTTCCCACCACTGCATCCTACCTCCCCTTTTCCCGTCCCCATCCACCTCCATTAGCCCCCAAGGGGAGCCCTCAAGCACCGTGCATGGCTGATCTCCTGCCAAGGTTGGCTGGGGCCACAGGAAAGGGACCCTACTTTTTGTTTTCCTCCTCGGTGTCCTCGTCCTCTAGATTGTTGCCAGCACTTGCAGCCACTGTCTGGAGCTCGGGGCCCTGGAAGCGCTCGAGGAAGGGGTCTGGCCTTTGCTGCTCCTCGTGCAAGCTCTTGCTGGCCCAGTCCCTCAGCACCAGCACCAGCCGGACTATCCTGGACAGGGGAGAGAGGCAGAGTCAGGAGGTGTCTGCAGAGCAAGGAGAAGGAAAAAGCTTGAGAGCAAGCAGGGGGGGCTACAGCTGAGAAGAAATCTCTCACAGCTCCCTCTCAAGCCCAAACATTTCCTTTTTCCCCCCTTGTAGTGATAGTATGGGACCAAGAATATACGAGCAAGAGAGCCCACCCTGGCAGAGTCCCACATCTCCTTCCCTAATCCTGCTACCATTCCAACAGGGACATGAGGAATGTGTGGGTCACCGGGGCAGAGTGAGGCTGCCTGCAAGGGAAAGGAGCCCCCGAGCCCTCCTGGGGCCCCAGAGGTGATGGAACCATCTCCTCCCACAGCCCTCTCCATGGGCAGCAGGGCATGCAGAGCAGCATTCACAGACGCTGGTCCCTGCAACTTTTGAATGCCGTACAGCAGGAGGGGATCCCGACCCCACACAAGTCCCCTGTGTCAAAGTCAGGCACAAAAGGCTCACGCTCACCCCGGGCCGGCAGCACACACAGGTACCTGGCCAAGGCTCGCCTCCCTTGGAAAGCAGAGGCAGCCGGCTGTTCCCCCCCATCTGGGGGAGCCCCTCTCTGCAGCTCTGAGGAGGTGTCATCCTGGGTTGAGCAGGTCCTGCAGTGAGGAAAAGGGGGGGTCACAACCACACCGTGCCATCGTGGCACCTGTCCACAGCCAGACAAACTGGAGGAAGCAGGCAGCTGAGGTTTGGCATAACAGCCCTGCCCATGCCAGGTCTCAGCAGACACACCAAGTTGGCCCTCCCCTCCCTTGTCTCACCACTGCCTCCCTCAACCAAACTGGGGACCAGCCTAACCTCCTGGTGCTGAGCCCCGTCCCCTCCACGTCACCCTCCACTCGGGCTTGGGCAGGTGGGCAGGAGTGGCGGTTGGCCAGCGAGCTGTGCAGACCATTACTCTTGGCCATCATCCTCCGTGTGAGGAGACCACGGGCACACACCCTGCCCAGAGACCTGCAAAGAGCAGAAAACAGCCACAAGAAGAGCCATACAGGACACATCATGTGGTTTGAACACAGAGATATGGCACAGCACGGGAAGAGAGAGGGTCAAACCCCATGGGATGTGCCCACCCCATGTTTTCCACCACCAGCCGTTGCTGATGCTGCAGTTAAGAGTCCTGCAGAGCATTTTGCCCTCCCCAAGAGATCCCGCATCTGCCCATGGCCCATGAAAGATGCTCTCCTCGTCATTCAGGCTCCTCAGCCATTGCCAGGGCAACGGCATCCCCAGCGAGCCGTGCCATAACAACGAGCCCATGGCTCTCGGCATCACTGCCTGCCCGAGTACAAGAAAATAAACTCGTAAGGGATATAAGCGCAAGGCCAGCCCTGGCGGGGAGATGCTGTTGTACAGCAGCACAGAGTATACTTTGCGTGTACAAGGGTGTTTGTACCTGAGCAACCACGCTCCTTCCCCAGAGCACTGCAACCTGCTGGTGGTCTGCCCAGCGAGCCCCACCTCTTGTCACCACAGAAATCTCCCCTGCATTGGAAATTAAGGTTTGCTATTCAAAAAGAGCCTTGCTGAGGTTCCTGCTGGCAGGAGCTACCACCTGGTTTCAGAGAGCAGCAGAGAAGACCCTACATTAATATGCGGAGCCTGCTGTGGAGCTGTTAAGTGTGGGATTTCACTGAGGTTTGTCTAAAAAGCGAGAGATGTCCACGGGGCTTGTCCAGCCCCAGCATCACGTGCAGCCCTCACTGTTCTGCTGCACCCTAGTATAGACCACACCATGCAAAAGCACCTCACAGAAACAACAGACTTGCACATGCATGGATGCAAAGGCACACAGGCATTGCCCAGCCCTACCTAGACCACGTATTCCCACCCTGGCCACCCTGCCTGCTCCCCCCGGGGCACAGTATGCCCTCCATACCTGCAATGCACAGATGAGGCAGGTTCCTGGAGACAACACGCTTATGCTCTCACACGGTACAGCCCACGGCCAAGGCTCTGCTTGGGGGAAGGCAATGCCTTGCACACCTCTACCAACACACACAAAGACTACAACCACGCTGCACGCACAGGGACAGTCATGCACACTCAGGCGCGCCACCTCCCTGGGGCAGCGGAGCCACTGCTAAGAAGCCACCACTGTCCACTTACGAGCCTGGCGTCTCCTGAAGCCTTCAACACTTGGCTGCTGCCTAACGTGGGCTAGCAGGGGTGGCTGGGGAGCATCCCTCCCCTGGGGGACTTCCCAGGCTGTCTCCGGAGCACTCAGGCTTTTAAAACGCGTGTTGAGCTGCAAAGCAAAGCCAGCACAAGCGGAGCTGCCTCCACTCCTGCCCTTCTCTGCCCAAGCAGAAAAGCAGGCAAGGCTGCCGGGCAGCACCCTGTCAGTGGCAAAGGGACCTCTGCGGTGTGCGGGGAGGATGCACACGCGTGTGTGCATGTGTCTCGTCACTACAGGAAGCCCATCCTCTGAGCATCCTCGACGCCCTGCGCAGCAAGGCGCACTTCAGAGGAGTTAATAGCAGCCAGCTTTGTGTCTGGGGGATGAAAGGGGAGGAGGGAAACATGCTGCTCAGGGATGCTCCATTTCCCTACTCACGCATACCCTTCTCCCCCTGCCACCTCATTGGTGGCTGGAGGAACCCCAGACATCTCTCAGGGCAGAGCCCCACTGGAGATCGCAGCCGTCCTGAGCAGCTCTGGCTCCAGCGGCTCCTGAGTCCCAAGCAAACCTTGGGGAAGGGTCACTGCCCACCTGGGGACAGGCACAGCTGGCAGACCCCCAGCTGGGCTCAGGTCCTGCCACACAAGGGCATGCACCGGGATTGCCTCCTGAGCCACCGGCTTCTGCTCCCCTCCCAGCCCTCTGCCCTATGGAAAAACAAAGCTGGTGACTGTTTCCCTGCTTCACAGCCTGTGCCACAACTACTGCTATGATCGAGAATTTGCAGAAGTAGCCACATTTTAACACCCTCCCATCCAGTTATCTCTTCTCACACTCGGGGAGCAGGAGACCTCCAGATGTGCTGCTCTGGAGTCCCAGCAAAGAGAGCCGCAGAGTTTGAAGATGATCATGAAATGCATCTTTCACCAATTTCTGCCCTCATATTTTGTTCACAAAGCCATTCTAAGAACCAGTTAGCAAAAAATTTGCATCCCCAAGGCAATAAGGAAGAGATTAATTTTTACCGCCTTCCTCCAGCATCTAGCTACTTGCAGTGACTGAGGCTGGATCAGTCCCTGCTGTGCACATGGAGTCCTGCACTGTGTGCAGGGCTGATCTGAAAGCACCAGCACCGGGAGTCCCTTCACTATCAAAGGTTTACCTTTTTTTTTCCTTCAAAGCCTTAAATTCCACGTGTTCTGATCTCACTGAAAACCTGGACAGCAGGGAGCCCAAAGGAAGAAACAGAATTTTTGCAGCCTTGGCCAGGGGTGCTGGCGGTGTTGGGTGCTGCCTGGGTGAGCGCCCAACAGCAAGGGACGCATCACCCTGCTCTTGTCCCTACGCCACAGACCCGGGCACTGGGGACAGCTCACAGACCAGGAGCACCGACAGCGGCGCGTGTCCCCCTCCCACCTCTCCTTTTGCTCCCTGCCTGCAGCTGCCTTCAAAAGCAACACAGGAACTCCAGGAGCTGCTCCCTCACAGCTCCCTCGAGCACCATATTGCACAAGACACTTTAGTTTCCATGCACATCATTGTGGCAGTGATCCCAGGAGACACCCAGCCCTGCCACATGAGCTGCCCTGGGACAAACAAGAGCCAGGAGGAGGAGGCAGGGAAGAGAGAAAGAAAATAAATAAAAGCATCGCACCCCAACAGGGACAGCATTAGCCAGAGACCCTCCTCCTCCAGATCCTCCCCGGCCAGGGCAGCTGGCATGCGTGTTTTACATCAGTGGGCAAAATGGCCTGTAGCTCTAGAGACGTCAGAAATCCAGCATCCGATTAAATAAGCATATGTGGCTGAGACATCCAGCACCAGGTCAGACACCTGCTGCCAAGGGAATAAACCTTACCTGTTCCCATCCACTGGGATACCAGGATCAGACTCCACGGTGGGTAGAAGAAACACATCCAGAACACATGGAGTTTATTAAAATATGCATTTTATGGGTCAGCGTTTCCAGATTTACACCAGGATTTATGCCTTACATAGAAGTCATATTGTATCCTCTGCAACCTGCCAATAATTAGCCTTTGAGAACACATACAGCTTGATCCCCTCTCCTCCAAACATCTTCAATCCATACTTTGAAGGTGGTGTGTCCCCCAAAGGGTCAACCCTTCTCACCCTAAAATACATATTAAAAAAAAACCCACAAAACACAAGCTTCCTCCATAACACATTTGCACCTCTCACAGAAGAGAAACAAGTCAAACAATTTACCTACTTTCCTGGCACGAGTCACACAGCGGCAGCCCCCTTATACAGACTTGTTGTGTAAGGTCCCCTGGTAACCCTGACCACATCCCTGAACCACAAGCCACAGGTACCACCCCTGCACCAGTGCTCCCAACCCTTACATACACCCTGCCATGGCACGGCACGCCAAGCCCACCACACCATCGTGGCTCTCATCTGCAATAAATCTCAGCGCTCTCCTCAGCTCAGCTGTCAGGCACAGTTTCAGACCTGCAATAACTGTGGGACAGTTGTTTATTAGTCAATGTCCAGCTGCCAGATTTACAGTCACAACTGCTTGATGCAGTTGCAGGCAGAAAACACCCAAGCATCCATGTCTGTAAATAAGCTACTGGGACATCTGGATGACCTGCAGATCCAGCTACAATTACTTATAGGTGGAACAGAGAGGTCCTGTTAGGCCATGCCAAAACCTACCCCCAGAGCCTGCAAGCACAGCTCCAGCAGATGTGCTGGATGAACCGCCAAAAGTGTCTCAAAGTCACCTCAGATCCAAGTGTTACTAAACTCCACAGAAGAAAAGAAACGGCAAAGCTGTTGAACTGGGCTTGTTTTTAGCTAAAGAGCATCTGGGCCAAGAATTTCCCTCACATGTATTCTTGCACCGTCGCTGAATGGCTTGGCAGCAAACCTGGGAGCGATCCTGCTCTCTGGCATTGGCAACCTAACAAATATCTACTGTTGCCCAAATGGGCAATTTTCCATGACCTGTCTGGTGCTGTCACTGTTGGTACGAGGTCTTATAATCCAGAGAGTCACCATGGGGAGGTTTCCCACATAAACCTCTCTGGGAAAGAGCCAAGCTCCTGGATAAACCCAGACCTCACCAACGCTCTTACAGTCACTTTGGATCTGAACATTTGCAAACCCGCTGCTGAACTGCCTCCAGCAGAACAGGAGCCAAGGAGACGGTGGCACAGCAGCAGCTGCAGGGATGGGAGCTCCTGGGTCCTCCAGCTCCATACCTCCTAGAGCAGGGGCTATGGCACGGGAGAACTGGCAGTACTACCTCCACCAAAGACCTGTTGCGCAAGGAAGAAAAGAAAACCCACCAGCAGTTTAAAAACACTCAACCACTCTACACAAGCTTTTGGGGTGGAAGATGAGGAACAGACCACAGCAGTTGGCTGAAGACTTTTATGGGGTCAGAATTGAGTTATCCAAGCTGGGACATGGTCAGGGAACTCGGCCCACTACAGGCTAAGACTGTAACTGTCCGCAAACACCCAATGCTTTGGTTTTGCGTCTCCTCTGGCAGACAGCCCAAGGGCCAGAGGGTCTCCCATTGCTTTGCGCAGAACAGACACCTCCTGTGTCAGCCACCAATTTCTTATGAGACCTGGGCTCTTCACAACAGTTTCCCACACAAGCACTGACCCCATCAAACATACAAGGTGGTTGCTTGTGTACACAGAGCATTTGCAGCCACAGCCCAGCCCTGGGACTACGCCTGTTGGGCCATATTCCTTGTACCCCGCTTCTCCCTGACACCTGTCTCCAGCTGCTATGGCACGAGGTCCAGCC